TACTGCCGGTTGACTTATTGGACTTAAAACAATTTTTATAAAATAGGAAACTGATATTTATCCTCTTAAAAAATATCCTGTATAAATTTATTTATTTTTAAGAAAAAAATATCCTTTATAATCATGTAGTAGAATTTTATTGGTTTAGTAATTTTTCTCTAACAACCGACTTTCCATAGAATTACGGGCAGTCCAAATTTGTGTATAAATAGGCCAGTTAATTTGCGCTAGATTTTCATACACAATACTCCTTCAGTCCTTCTTTATTAATCCCTTTTTTTTTCTTGGTGTTCATACGTACAGAAATTATAATGGCTAAACTCAGCAAAATTCTTCATAGTATTAGGAGTAAAATGGCATCATTAAGTTGTGTTTCTCATCCTAAGAAATCAGAAAGCAGCATCAAGAAGAAGCAGATCAAAACCACTACGTCTTCAACACCGGCTTCTTCTACTAATAACGGTGTCACGGCTAATCAAGGTGTCGCAACGATAACTCCGGTGAATCACAAAGGCAGCGACAACTGGCCGTGTCTTCCCAAACTCCCTGCTCCAGTTGTTATGCCCTCTTATTGTCACAAATTTAGTGCTCGGCTATTGAGTAATGTGTATTAGCTTAATTAGCATGCATGACTTTCTTGAAGTCATTATTATGTTGGTGTACGTACATAGGAAAATATTGTGTAAGCAGAAATTTGTTATTAATCAAATCTAACTTTTGAGTTATGACTTACTAGGTAGTTTTTCTTGATTTATGGCTTAACAATCCAGTTGTTTGAATAATCAAGGTTTAAAAGTCTAGGTTGATATCGAGTTGAGCCATATTCAATTCAATTACCAAAACTATTCCCAATTTATAAATTTAAAAACGGCTTTTAATATATAGTATAGATGAAAGAATAATAATTATCAAACATTGATTGCTTAGGTTAACATCAAATTCTAGTTACGTGGTTTTAAGTAGAATTTTGGTATTAGGTCATGAATTTTAATTTAATGTATGTAATTGATTATGAATCAAGTTTTGCTGGAGAGTCATATTGAATTCAATCATCAATAGGCTTATTAACTGAAATTAATAATTATTAGACATATTTATTGTTGGATCAGTTATCAAAATTAAGTAAAGTGAAATTTAGTTTATGTAATTTCATAGTGTAGGTGTTAAGTCGAAGTTGTTTGCACTTTAACAATAGTAATTAGTTCCTAATAGGAAAAACAACACTGTTAGTAAAAAAAATAAAACACCGAGAATTGATCAATAGATTCAATACTATTAGTTGTGCTATATCACAATATTATTAGTTAAAAAACCAATTGGTAGTTGGTGTAGTGGTGATTGGGGCTACACTTAGTAGGGAGGACGCGTGTTCGATCCCCCGCAGCAACAATTGGGAGAAGACTGGAACCTAACCACCCAAAACTCCTCGAATCCGGATTAGCCTAAAGGGTGAATCAGGCGGAACACCAAAAAAAAAAAAAAATCAATATTATTTAAAAAACAATTTTTAAAAATATGTAGATTGTAGGTTAAGAGAATGATAAATTCCTCATGAGAATATTTAAACACTTCTTAATCTTTAACCTTGTCCTCAATTTTTTTTTTTTTTTAACCTTTTAGTAAGTATTATACAAATCCATACTTATAGCTAATTAAATTTCATAGCCACATGACTATAAGAAATTCGACTTTGGGCAACGACTAAACTCAAAGCACAAAACCTATATTTCGTCGCCCACAGTCTTGGGCGACGAATTGGGCCTAGACATGGGCTCGAAGCCCATTATATATTGGGCGATAAATTACTAATGCATTGCACAAAGTTGATTATGTGCAACGAATTGGTTAGTTGCCTATGTACTGTATATTTCGTCGCCCATAATGTTTTGGGCAACGAACTTATTCGTTGCCCTATCTTTGATATTTTGGGCGACAAATTATTTTTCGTTGCCCATGATATTTTGGGCAACGAACTTATTCGATGCCCCATCTTTGGTACTTTGGCCCATAATAGTTTGTGCAACGACTTTACTTGTTGCCCCACACGTGTTACCTTGGGTCATTATGTATGTATCTAATTATGCAGCATCTTAAAAAGCTAGGAAATTAGCTTAGTCTGGAGTCAGCTAGAAAAATTTTCCATTTTCTGCACTTAAGCATCTTACCTCTCTGCTTAATTAGGCTTCCACTTCCACAAAGCAACAATAATGAATATACTGATAACAAGAGCCGAAAGTATCAGACAGATTGCTACTTTTGTTCTTAGCTCGCATCCATCTATGATTAAGAATTTTTGGAGAAAATAGAGGAATTATAAGAACTCATAGAAATACAAGATACATAGCTCAAGGAAGATGCAAGATGAACATATTAAAGGATCACTTCCGAAAGAGGAATTTTTATGCAATCTCGAGATGATGAGCATATGAAAGTAGTACTTGCTATCCCACTCTATTAGTGAATTTGGGAATATCGCAGATGTACGAGGGTAAAATAAGAGGTGAAGGCTATTTAGAGTTTCATGAATTGACTTCTTGATAATTGAGTTCTTGAGGGTTTAGAGTTTCATGAATCGCAGATTGTACAATGCTTTAAAAGTATCCCCGAAAAATGAAAGTATTCCGTTGCACAAAACATTGTTTGTAGCCTATACAATCAAACTCGTTGCACAAAATACATTTTGGGCTACGAGATTTTATTTAGAAGCCCATTTGTGATTATTTGGGCTACGAACATACAATTAGTCGCCCATCTAAATCCATTCGTCGCTCAAACTAGAATTTCTTGTACTGTATATATGGTGCATGAATTTGTTTTCCAATTACTATAATATATCCCATATTCACATCCCATCATATATCTCCTAGTTTGCCACATCTAATTGACCTCCATGGGCTAATCGGGTGCTCTATATGACATAATTTTCATTATTATATAAACTTTTTTTTATAAATTAAACTTATTTAAAATTTATTATATTATTTTCTCTATTGACATGCATGTGGAATTTGTATGTACTATCTCTTAAAATATTACTCATATATAATTAGGATTATTTTGTAAAAGTAATAATAAATATTACTTAATACTATCTTAGTAGCCAGTAATATCTAAAATATGAAATCGAATTTTGCCTACATTATTATTAATTTATTATCTTGTATAAAAACTTATTTATGGAAACCTATTTTAATCTTATCTACCGAGATAATACGAGTACTAAATTACTAATGACGGTTGAATTGGACTTACAACAATTTAGGAAAGAAATCATTATCCTCTTACAAAATATCTTTTATATAGGAAATCATATACTAGTAGAATTTTATTGGTTTAGTAATTTTTTCTCTAGCAACCGACTTTCCATAAAATTACGCGTAGTCCACTAGTCCAAATTTGTGTATAAATAGGCCAAATTATTTGCTTTAGAGTTTCGTACACAATACTCGTTCTTTGTTTATTTTCTTGGTGTTCTTACGTAAAGAAGTACTACTAATGGCTAAACTCAGTAATGTTCTTCATAGTATTATGAGCAAAATGGCATCATTAAGTTGTGTTTCTCATCCTAAGAAATTAGAAAGCTCCATCAAGAAGAAGAAGATCAAAACCACGTCTTCACCACCAGCTTCTTCTACTAAAGGTGTCGCGGCTAATCAAGGTGTTGCAACGATAACTCCAGTGAATCACCAAGGCAGCGACAACTCGCCGTGTCTTCCCAATCTCCCTGCTCGAGTTGTTATGCCCTCGTATTGTCACAAATTTAGTTCTCGGCTATTGACTAATGTGTATTAGCTTAGCATGCAGGACTTTCTTGAAGTCATTAAGTGTAATTAACTAGTTTGGATAATGTTGTACATCGATCTCTTAAGCGTTTATGTTGGTGTACGTACTTAGGAAAACATTTTGTAAGCAGATATTTGTTATTAATCAAACCTAACTTTTGAGTTATGACTTACTTTTACTTGGTAGTTTTTCTTGATTTTTGGCTTAACAATCGAGTTGTTTGAATAATCAAGGTTTAAGTCAATTCAAGTCGTATTTAATATTTGGGTGTTTACGTAAATTTCGAGTTGAGTCATATTCAATTCAATTACCAAAACTATTCCCAAATTATAGTCTTATTATGATAGAATAATAATAATTATCAAATGTTGATTGCTTAAGTCAACATCAAATTCGAGTTACTTGATTTCAAGTAGAATTTTGGTATTAGGTCATGAATTTTAATTTAGTGTAATTGATTTTGAATTAATTACGTTTTGCTGGTGAGTCATATTTAGTTCAATTATCAATAGGCTTATTAAGCGGAATTAATAATTATGAGACATATTTAGTGCTGGATCAGTGATCAAAACTAAGTAAAGTATGTATTGATAATTATTAGACATAATTTCATAGTTTAGGTGTTGAGTTGAAGTTGTTTGCTCTAAAACAATAGTAATTAGTTCCTAAAAAACGATACTATTATTAAAAATAAAAATTAAAAAAATAAAAAAATTAAAAAAATAATAAAAAAATAAAAAACCACGACACCTTTAGTAGAAGAAGCTGGTATATCACAGTATTATTAAAAAATTCAAGTTTGTGCTATATCACAGTATTATTAAAAAACCACGACATCCTAAGAAATTAGTTGTGCTATATCACAGTATTATTAAAAAATTCAAGTTTGTGATTTCAAGTAGAGTTTGTATATTAGGTCATTTATTTTGGGTTAGTAATCAAGTACGAATTAAGTTTTGCAAGTCACATTCAATTCTATTGTCAAAAAGCTTATTAAGTTAAAACAAAAATTTTGGACACATTATTGTTGTAAGGTCAGGCTAAATTTAGGAAATGTGATTTCGTATAGAGTACGGTTGTGTTTCAAATCCAAGTTTCTAGGTCTAAATAATGTTAATAAAATAATTTTACAAATTCGAAAATTATTGGTGATTATTCCCTACTAATTAGCCAATTAGAGGCAATCAAGGTTAGCATCAATCGCATACCACTGCAAATCATACAGTAATAATAACTGATCTTATTACTCTACCAAGTGTTTTGAGAGTCAGGTTCATCTGTTCAAGAAGATTCATGACAAATTGAAAACTACAGAATATCTATAATGCTACTATGTTTACCCTTTAACATATTCCCTTTGTTACAATGACCTATATAAAACACATGCATCTTGGTGAAGAATCAATGAATAGGCCATCCTCGGGCAAGCCCCAGTGGCCAGGCTATCACCTGCCTATCCCAGCACCCCTCAAATAAGAAAAAGAAGAGCTAAAAAAAAATTCTGATTTCAAGGAAAAAAACAGGGCAAAACTAAATGTTTGTATCATGAGTCACGCTTACACCTTTTGTTTACCCTTTCGTATCTTCTCCAGCTCCTCTTCTGCAGTTTTCAACTGTAGTTTTAACTCAGTTATCCTCAGTTCCAATTCTTCAACACTTCCCTTTTTAATTTTAGGTTCGTATGGTACGAGGAAATGTCGAGAAAATGACCTCAACGCTTGTAAGCCAGTGACCTGTATACAAAAATCAATTTTAGTTTATACAATTATGCAAGTTCAAGGTAACCGACAATAAACTTTTCCAGGTATAAACTAATTGCTGCGTTTTCCTGATCCCTCCTACTTAAAGATATGATGCAGTTCAACAGATATATTTTATTTTTTAATAGTTGGGTCATTTTTTATTGCCCCATCACTTATTGCAAGTAGTGGCATACTTGAAAATTTTAAAATAGAATCATTACCAAGTTTGGAACCTAAAATAGTACAAAGCATATACTTTGTAGTATATATGGGACTCCTAATGCTAAATGGAGGGAGGAGTTATTATCACATCGACTAAAGAGAAAAGTTAAGCTGACTGAACTCAAGTAGGGACTAGTTTCAGCTGGACCTACCTCTTCAGGCATCAACGGTAGTTTTGTAATGTGGAAGTCTTCATACAACATGTAGAATTGATCAATATATCTCTCTTGCATTCGCATTCTTGCTTTCAGCAGCTTAGAATCAACAACTATAATCACCGGATTTCAAATGGTGTTAAGCCAATTATCTCAAGTGGCAGACTAAACAAAACCTGAAATGTATAGATACAAGAAATAGTACCTTCGTCATCGAATAGAACTTGATTGATGATGATATTGTGAGTATCAATCTCAAACTTTGCAAGTTCCTGCACCAATCTCTCTGTTTCATACAGTGATAAGAACTCAGGAATGCAGACACAAACAAAGGTCGTCATATCCTGCAATATGAGTGTCAAAAAATCAAGATTATCGATAAATTTAAGAATAGAAAGAGATTTCACAACATCGTTTATAAAAGCAAGGTTATTTCTACTTCCGCTTGTATTAAAGGAAATCATATTATATCATAACCAACATTATACAGACAGGTGATTATGTTTTCCCGACATCCAAAATAATTCTGGATGGAGGGAGTAGTTTATACAGCTACAAACATATAACAAAAACTTAAAGCAAAAATTCAAGAATGGAAAGAAAATTTTAACCTACAACTGATATATCTTCTACTGTTTTTAAATTCTTCTAATGAACCAAAAGTTAGTCAATAGGTGATTTTGTTCTCTGATTAGTCTGGACTAATTCATAGTTACAGCTTCTACAAAAAGTCCCACGCAATATATTTAACCAACGAGATGTTAAACAGAGTAGAGCAACAGGAGCAGACTTACTGGATCTCTGAACTGCTGGTTAACTTGTTCGATTACTTCTTTCATGCCTTCAAGCCTACCAAGAATTGCATCTTCACCAAAGTCATCTTCAACACCAAAGAGACAAGTCATCTAGCATAAATATCACAACAAATTGGTTACTTGTGAATAAGGCCTAGTAACTAGACATCAAGGCTCAATATAGCCATAGTCCATAGATCTGCATCATTGAAGAACAGTAACCCTTCCCCCCAACAAAAGAATGTCATAGGAGACTAGCAATTAGCACAGGCCAAAATCTTTATTCAAGAATTCATGCATCACAGGAAATCATTCGGCCATACCTGACTTAATAAGCCCCCAAATTTGTTCTTTAAGGTCATCATTTTTGCCAAACCCTTTTCTAATGTGGAAGGAAATTGCAAAAGACGAAGAGTGTGTCCTGTGGGAGCTGTATCGAACACTATGACAGAGTAGTCCATGGTTTGAACTAATCTGCAATAACACAGTCAATAATTAACAAGGGAAATGCTATACACAATAAAGCTGTCAGAATAAGGAAATATGAACTGCAATCAAAGCAGATATAACCATCCATCCTTGTACAATAGAGGATCAATTGCTAAAAGAAAATTTTCTCTTAGCTAGTACTCAATTTTTTGAGAAATGAACTGGAACTATGATATATCACTATATCTGAACAAAGATCACTAATTTGAAATTCACCGATTTGGCTAAAATGCCTAGCAAGCCAATCATTGCTCATACCATTTATCCTCTATGCCCAGGTAAAGATATGGAATTACTTTTTCGTTTTTAGATTAGATCTGTGAATTTTATTTTAATTGATTTTCTTTCATAAATACTTATACACCCAATGTCTCAATCATCTGTGAATACTGAATAGTCTAGAATATCATCTTTTTTAAACAGTTGGATTATTATACATGAAAGCAGCTTCCGAATCCTTGATATTAACCATCAAAAAATGTGAACAAACAGGAAAAAGCACTGCCAACTCAGATTAGATTTCACCTTGCAAAAAAAAAAATGTCTTTTCATGTTAGGGCCTTGGAGGAAAGGTCAGTTTGAGTAAAGTATCTTTAATCCATGGCAGTGTATATGAACGTCTTAAAGATTAGATAAAACCTCTCATCTTCACCAACTACGAGCATCAGCACGTGAAATGGCTCAATGGCAAGTCAGATCACAAGCACCAACAAAGTACCAATGGTGTGACTGAATCCTTGGCTCTCTATGAGCATTCTATTCTGCACTAAGAGGTTCAATGAGAACCCAAGTAATTTGGAAGTAGGCCAGGCACAAATTAGAAATTCATTGGTGTCCTTGTGGTAACTGACAGCATGTAAACACACCATCCCCCCCACCCCCCGCCCACAAAAAAAATAAGAATAATAAATAAATTATCTGAAAAGAACCATGTTCTTTACAGTTTTCTAGTAACTACTAACAAAATGACATTAAGTATACACTGAAAAAAGACCAAGCACAAACTAAAGACAAAATCCTGAGTCCAGTGGTAGATGAAATACTCACTTCAGCATTTCCGCAAAACTCATGGCTTCATCGATTCCAGGAATTGCATTTGCTAGCTCAGATACAAAGTTATCTTGCCCATCAGTAGAAAGATCATCATTCTCTACAGACGGATCCACTTCCTGCAGATAAATGTATGTTGACAACATTAAATCTAAGCAATATACTATAGTATCAGGGAAAGCAAAAAATACAAACAAATATATACAAAGTATTTTTTTTTTTTTTCAAAACAAAAGGTCAAATTGATAAACTATTTTGCTTTTTATCATGCACATCAAAATTGTCTCCTCCTTTATGCCTCTTTTCCCCCCTCAAGCATATGCATATACCTTCATTCCCTTAGGCTATGCTTTTCAGAGATCATAATTTAGTTTCAGCCAATTTCCAACATACATCATGACTTCATGAGTCATGACATTACTTACCGTAATCCTTTAGTTATATGTGTGATCTTTTTTTTTTTTAAATCACTTTCTTTTTCCTCTTTTTTCTTTCAAATGCATCAGTATAGACCTCTAGTTTAGAAAGCACAATGACTACATCCAATTTACATGCCCACATTTTTTCTAAAATAACAATGTTTTTACATAATTTACTCATTTAAGTTAAAACAAATAAAATTTCAAGGCACCCACATTCTTTTGTGGCAACTACATATGATATCTCACAAACAATTAGCCTAGTACCCACAAGAATATTTTAAAATAATTTTGAACTCCCTGTGTCTGAAATAACATTCTTTGCACATCCGAAATGCGACATGAACACTCGCAAACTCTAAAATTACTTTTACAAAAGTATAGGTCACTCTCAGACAGCACATCAGATGTGTAACAGCTTTTGAGCATCGGGCAAATACGAGGTTTTGCGATCAAACAGTATACAGAACGCCCTCCCCAAAACTCTCTTCCTCACATTCCTAATCCACATCTTATGTACTACAAATTTCTTCCCTTAACCAAGTAAACTTCCTTCCTTCCAGTAAGCAAGTGAAATCATATCAGATTGAAGTCAATGGCTTAACAAGAAAATAAACCATTTAGTTTAATTCCATTCATAATAAAAACAAAGAAAACTTCCAATTTGCAATTTTATAGCAAGGGAAATTTTACATTAAAAGGGTGGAAACAACAGCTGAAAATACCATAATTTAGAAGACTGTTGATGTCAGCTAGTTGAAATTGTTAGTTTTGGGGGCAATATCTAAGACCTGGGACCGAATACCATCTACAATTGCTGAAACCAATCAACTAAAATAATCCCAAAAACATGCAATCTCACCCTAATTAAACAAACACAATTTCATTCCTCAACAACTGAAGATCTCTCTACTTCATCAAATACCATATTGCATTTTAACCATCACTCCAAAAAAATCCAAAAAAGCATTCCAATTCCCTTAAATTCAAATCAAATTACACCCCAAAAAATCCCCATTTTGTAAATTGGCAAATTAAGAACACCCCCACAAAATAAAATCGATCAAAAAGCAAGGAAATTATCAGAAATTACCATGGCAAAGAGATTGGGGAAGCCATTAACAAGGGTAGGAGTCTTGGTAAAACGCTGTTGAAAAGCATCGCTAAGATTGTGGGCAGGATCAGTGGAGATGATAAGAACAGAAGGTCGAACACTTGCAAGAAGAATGGCAAGAATTGAGCTACAAGTTGTCTTCCCAACACCACCTTTGCCTCCTACAAATACCCATTTAAGGCTTTCTTGGTCTAGAATGTTCTGTAATGTTCCTACTGGCATTTCCTGGGTTGTTTCTTGATCTGACGCCATTGATGAAAGATCCAAGCTTTCTCACTCCCCTCAATTTATGGGATTTATTTTTCTGGGTAAGATTTGAAATCAGAAGAAATACAGGAAATTGCTGGATTTTTGGAAACGACAGTGCTGAATCGTGAATTTGCTTGTATTTCTGGATACTTGCAACAAATTCCCTTTTCTCCTCTCAGTTATTTCTTCTTTCCTCGATTTCTTTTCTTACCTTTGTTTTTTGGTTTTTTGGTTTTTTTTTTTTTTTTTTTTTTTTTTTTTTTTCCTTTTTTCTTTTGGTAATACTTTACTTCCTTAGATTTCTAATCATTTCCACAATTTCATTCATGGTTGAATCTATAGTGCAATGTGGGAATGAGAAAATTTTATATGGCGTATTTAGAAATTAATATTTAACGGGGTTAAAATAAAAATAAAAAGTAAACTATATAATTTTAAATGTTTAAGTGGGTTTAAATAGTTAATTTTTTAAAAAATTATGGAAAATCTCAATTTTTATAAAGGAGATTTCCAAATATAATATAAAAATATTATGAGATGAATCTTATGCTAGCCTGCTGGGTATGAGACTACGCCAGCTAAAATATCTTACTTGTTAAAATTCCTAAAAAGTGCTCTTATATACTTTGTATTTTTATACACCAAGTCACCTACAAAGACCACATCAAACATGAATTTTGTTACAAATGGGATAAAAATTGTTCTCATTTTCACCCAATTCACACATACTTGTATAAAACACCCCCTCAACCTCTTGTTCAATAAGCTTTTTGCTAGTTTGTTATGGAGCAAATGACAATTGTTTGATGAACAAATTAAATTCGAAAAAGACTCTCATTATGTACAAATTTAGAAAAGAAATAAACTTCTAATGAGCTAAAAAAAAAATACTACCCAAGAAAATGTCTTAGCATGAGTCATCTTGGGTCATACTCCGTGTAGATAAGGTTTTTATTCATTAATACATACTTCGTATTACATAGTACATACTGTATATTTTGTTACTGAAAATAGTGTAATTAAAGGCACATATGATTAATGTTCATTATCCCTACCACTACTCCACTAATGCCAACAAATTCAGGCGTAACAAAGTTTGGGGTTTCAAAGTTGGATCCGAGTTAAAGACAAAAAGGCTGAACAAAGCAACTGTTACTCTGTTAGGCAAAGACCAAAATTGCGGGATGCTGCGCGTAGATTTTCTTCTAGCTGGGCTCTGTGCAAGAGACCACGTATACCACAGCAGCACAAAGCTACTCCATACATCAGTACAAGGCAGCATGCAGCTTGGTGTGGACTGACCTGATGTACTGCAGCCTGAGAGCACTCTGAGCAGCAATATGACCCCACAATCTTCTACGTGGCCCTTTCATGCGACCAAGAACAGTTCTTTTTTAGCCTATGAAAGGATATTATGTAATTTTACACCCGAATGTAGGATAGATATTATCAATACTTTTAGCCTTTTCTGGCTTAGAGTATACAACAATCAGATCTAATCCATCTCTTAAGCGTCCTGCAGAATGACAATAACCTGCATTGCTGGAGTGTTCCATCCGCTGATTGATTCATTAGCACAGTTCTTCCCGGAGAAAATCATTTGTGAGTTCGTGAGTGCAGAATGGCAGAATGCTGCCTTACACCTTGCTGTCATGACTAAGCAAGTACAGAAGTATTTTCAACAGTCTGTAAGTGTCCATTGCTTACACATTTAGTTAAGGCAATGAGCAGGAAACATATGTTAAAGAGGAATATAACTGGTATATGGAAAGCTTGTCACGACTCACGAGCTTACTCCCTAATCAACTCAATTATCGACTCACTATGACCATATAAGCTGTACAATTTCCTTGCATACATGAGGTAAACTTTCTTTTGGGACTTAGTACATAGAATTATATGTGAGGCAGGTAGCTATGATTGAGGAGATACATATCAGAAGAGAAGGGAATAGAGTAAGATTCAAAAGCTTGCTTTCACCCCATAACCCAGCCAAAGTTATCGTACCATCAGCAACTACTCGAGCTAGGGTCCCTGCTTCTGTAGAAAGCAGTCCACCATTGTAGGTCCCACGAGCTAACCTCGATGACATGACTCGAGACAAAAGTGATAGATTGACACCTGCAAGCATTTATCAAGTACTTTAACGAAATGAAGTAAATAGAGCTATGGCAAGCTATACACATAATATATACAATGCCAGAGAAAAACAGTACTATGCATATAGCTAGTTGATTAAAGATTTTGAGTGCTGAGAAAAAAAAAATGCTATTTGCTCTATTCTTTCTTCCCTAATCGCATTTTCATCAAATTTTCCAAGGAAAAAAGGTGAATGAAATGCAGGGAGGAAAAAAAAAGGGGGGGGGGGTGGGGGGGAACATTAAGGAAAAAAAGAACTACCTTCGAGTACTTCAGCAGATACAAATGTGAGGACTGCTGAGATGACATACTGTGGAACTGTATAAGGTATTCCAACCTTGAAGCTTAGGACAATGCCTATGCAAACAATGATCTCGGATGCCAACAAAACTTGCCTGCATCAAGTAGTCCACATGAATTACTTTAGAGCAGTAGTACATATGTATATCACCCTTGAATATCAAGGGATCACAATGCTTTGAGTCATTGATATAGAAGATTTATCAGATATAAATCTGCCATGTGGCGATTATTTATACCCTTATGTATATAATGTATTCAAGAAAGTGTGACACGAGCTTACCAAATTACTAGCATACTTTTTAGTCTTTGCCATTATAGTAAATTAGTCAAACTTTGAAAAGTCTCAAGGAGAATATCACAACAGGCACTCGAGAGTTGGAAGTAAGAACACAGCGTAAAAAGAATGAACTTAGAAGATAATTTGATACCCTCTACTCGTATTATGTAACTGATTTTTAACTTTGTAGGAATTACTGAATATCGTCCTGTCAAATTAGAGAAACAGCTAGGTCCATATTTCTTGCCGTGATTCCTAATCATAATCAAGGGCCAGGACAGCCACCAGTGAGCTGACAAGAAGAAATAACAATTAACATAGTAGGTTTCAGTTGGTGGTTACCTTTCCTCAAACATATTGCTGATGTAGTTTCCAACTAGAACATTGACTGGGAGAACTGTTAGCCCAAGACATGCAAGAAAAAGTGCCACATATTGGGTAGACCACATAAAGTAGTATCCTGTAATGACGCTTGATTCTGCTAGTAGTATCTCCATCGCATATTTGAGCATGAAATAAATCAGAAGTTGAGCCTAATAATAGGCAAAAAAAACAGTAGTTTAGAAATCTGTCAATGCAACCATAGAATAGAACTGCTATTAAGCAGCATACCAACTCCAGCTGATTTGTTTAGCCACACAAACAACAGTTATTAATAATAATATTTTAAAAAAAAACAAATAAATAAATAAATCATCCATTCATATTTCCTGAAATGAGTTGCTTCATTAAGTAGTGATTAAACCAATATGGAAAGAGGAACAACCAAAGATCAACCTTTCACTTACTGAATATACCTATGTGTTAAGTAACAATTTACATAATGCTACGATTGTCCTAGAGATAAAAATCAATGCAACACAACTTGAAAGATGTGATTTTAAACTCTCTCTTAAGATCCGTCCTTGGGGATTCAAACCCAGGTACTTTGGTAATGACTCCAAGGGCCGTTAATAGTTTTACACCGTTGGTAAGGTATTGTCCTTAGCTTATACATGAGTAATTACTCCTTGACAGTTAAAAAAGAGGGAAAACAAATTACAAAAATAAACAAACCAAACTCCATACCTTGACAGAAGGCGTCAGTAGTCTATAAGCTGCTACAATTGAGGTGGCAGGTTTATGGCTTTCATCAGAATCTTCATCACATTGGTCAAAGTCTTGACCTTCTTCGTCATCATCATCCTGTTGTTTTTCCTCTGAGCTTTTAAGCAATGGTTGCTCCAAACCATTCTCCATTGCGTTATGTGTCCTGTTTCCTTTTGTATCTTACCAAGACAGAGTATTAGACAATACCAAGACAAAAAGTGATACTAAACACTATACAATATGGCACATGAGGCAAACTAAAACCTTCCTCTAATAGGTCAGTAAAAGAGGGTTTATAAGAATGGTTTTTTGAGGACAGCTTGCACTTGGTAATCAGACAGTATATTTAGTTATTCACCCTTATCCAAGGTACTTAAACATTAAAAAAATGTTTTGCTTTTCTATATTATACTTGTAAAATAAAGAAAAGAAAGAGTTATGCTTTTCACATATTGAGCCTCTAAGGTTGCTAGAGAACTCAAGATATTTCACTACAACTCATTCCCAGAAATCCGGGATGTCAAAATTAGCATCCTAGACTTTGCACTTTTTTTCCCCCTATCCAGAATAAGTTCCCTGTACATGCATGACTTAAGACTTTCCTCAATCATAGAGCTAAAAAGGATACTACAGCTTGTGGTTTAGTTGGCAAAAATGCGTACCAACCTTCAGTTTTCACATACTACCATGAGATAGTTAAGGGATTCAAGAGGATATATTCGAGTTCCCATTAATATTTTCCGTCAAAGTCTCTTGGTCTTTTTTGTTCCTTAAGTATTTTATCTCATACAGTAGGTACAGAGGCAAAACATAAGCAGTGATTAAATTAAAAAAAAAAAAATGCAACAATAGGTTATTCATGGTAGTAATGGATCCATTACTTACCACGATTCGATTCCTGAGGTACAATGTTGCATTCAGGCTGGGGAGGTTCTTTAAATGATATGCAAAGACACAATAGGTAAACAAGCCATGCCAGCGCCATAAACCATCCAGGTAAAGTGTCATCATTGAAAGTTAGTTTGAACAATTTGAATTTGGCTTGGAATAAACAAGCAAGAGCAGGACCACAAGCCATCCCAAGTGCACTGGCAGTAACAAAACCTGCAGATGCCTTCATCCGTAATTTTGGTGGCACACAATCACTAATGTAACGCCTATTTACAGCCCTAGCAGAACCCAACCTGAATTAATGACATCCGAATTCCATGAATGAGATCCATCACAAAATCAAAGCAATGTATATATGTAATAAAGTGGTTTTAAACAAGTTGAGAGTTGAACTAGATTTCAGTGTATAACCTACTGAAATGCAAAAGGTTCCGACTTGCAAACGTCACAATCTCCACCCAATACTAACAGAGCGCTAGATTCAATTAGTACCTAGAAGACTAGCATGAAGAGGTTCCAATGAGAAATTTAGGCATCTAAAATCTTCCATAGTTCCATTAGGTTCCCTATTTCTGTTGTTTACGTTATACAGCTCAAACCCCCTTAGTTTCCTGGCCCTGTTTCATTCTCATCCTAAATATGCATGAACTCACTACGTGGCTCAAATCAAGGACAGTTATTTTGTTTAAAAAAAAAGAACCAAAATTCTCAAAGAGCAAAGCTACCTAGGACATGGTAAATAATTTGAAGATATATATCTGAGGAAACATGGATATTAAGCAAGGGAAAAACAGATGTATAGAATTTTCTATAAAAATTAAAAATGATCAGTAAAGGTTAAAATTTATACCCACAGAAGACACGGCCTATGAGAAGTACTGATATTGAGTCAAGGTCATAAGCCAGTGCATACAGGACATTTCCAACAAGGAGAAGAACACTGCTAAACACAAGGGGCTTCTTATATGATTTATTTGACCATGCACTGAGGTAAACCGAAGAGAACATTTGGGCAACAGCCATTGATCCAATCACTGCCCCACAAACAGTTGCTGCAGCACCAAGGCTTAGAGAATAACTGTCGGCTGTGGGGACAATAATGTATGTATTGACCATGTATAGGAATGTGTTCATCAAGTTTAACAAAAGGGACATTAAATCAAATGCCTGATCACCAACATCATCCTGAGATGGGCTTGGTAGATCTTCTTGCATTATCATGGCATGCTTCCCCATGAAATTAAGGAAATTTGTTGAATTTGTCAGCCTATCTACAGCTGCTCGAATGGAAGTCACAACAGGATCCTGCAAACAATACACTATTAAAGTCAAGAAAGGCCACATTGCACCTCTGTACAGAAAATTTTAGAGGAGGTTCAGCTGGTAATTCATGTTTTTCCTTGAAGAATTAAGAAATGAGAATATCTGGTAATTAAGCTTGATATAAAGAAGCAGCACTAAATAATATGAAGTAATTGTATAAGTGAGACCTGGAGATGAAGAATTGGTTGGTCATATATTGATACATAGCTTCCTTCGTTGTCCTGAAGATCTGCAAGATTGCGGGATATGGCTCCCACAACAGCCCCAAAGCCCTGCATGTTCAGCAATATAGGAGGTTAATAGTAAAACAACATCAAGGGAGCTCATGATTTCCCTTTAGTCTCAGAAATTTAATCTTGTAATGGTATTACAAGAAGGAAAGGATAATCATGATTCTCGATGAATGTATGCCATCTAAGTCATCAAAACTTTTCATCATTAGTATATTCCCAAGGCTTGTACTCCCTCTAGATGCTTCCCGACGTAAAGTTAATTAACCTTAATCCATGATACAAATTCTATAAGATGCCATTAATCCCTCTGAGAATAAGAAGTATATGTGAATCTAGACATATTATCCACCAAATGTCATCATCAAGATCACAAAAGTATCAACTATCAAGGATCCTTCATGCCTTAAATTGCAATATGAAAACTGATGCGAGCAAAAATGAAGCAAATTCAGAAAGGCCAAGTGTAATTGTCATTTTATGAACAGAACTCAGGGTATTACCACATGCTTGAATATTTGTTGCAGCTGTGAATAGGGATGATTAGCTCGAGTTTTGACATAATAATTGGTGAAGCCATAGCCCAAGCGTTTATCAAATTTTTTTAAGATCTTCCGCAGACCTATAGCATTCATTTCAACAAAGAAGAGAAGCCTCAACAGGTCTTGTCCCACAGCACGATATGCTTCTCGTACTTCAGACACATCAAGAATGGTTCCCTGCTGAAATGCAGTGTCTTGCTGTTCCCTGAGAGCAGACAACCTCTTTGCAAGTAGGCCTTGTTGCTCTAGCATGAACAAGACAATCTTCTCAAGCTGTTTACATAAAAGGGAATACCAACATTAAGCACTTGACCTCCTCAAGCCAAACAATGACCAAAAAGTTCATCAAGAATCCCAAAAGTATAATGTAATTCAAGTGTTAAGGCAGCATAAGATGCAACAGAAGCAGATTTGCAGCTTCACCCATCAAGCAAAGAAAATAAAAAGCAAATGGCCTCTGATTGATAAAAGATAGATCTTGGCCTCTTCTAAGCATGGGCTTTATGCAAGCGAATTAAGCATTAGATGAGATCACTAGAACATATTATCATGAAGCATGTAAGCCATGTTTCACAACCAGCTTCATTTAATAACCAATCCTTTCTATTTCTTGACAGCAGGTTGCATTAATAAAGTGCTTTATTTAGTTTCTCATAATGTAACAACTTCATTTATCAATAATTCCCATACATCATCTGCCTTATTTTGATCAAGTAGTAGGACTAGCAAAGGTTAGAACTCAATACTGTCCATGCCAACCCAAACTCGAAAGACAGATCAGAAGTTCAGAACAAACCATTCAGAAAAAGGGTCTCTATACTAAGTGTGCAACAAACAATATAACATATATCTGTTTGTAATACCTGATTATCCAGCATAAACGAAAAATCCTTCAGAACCAGAAGATGATCACCCGACCCATTCTCAATTTGTCGAGAATATTGATTGACCTTCTTCTTTAGAATCTTGTAGTTAATATAGTACCTTAATGTAAACAAAAATAAAGTCCAGTAACTACCATACAGGCTTAAATCTACTGTCTAATGCGCGACAAGGTACATGAAACTGTTAGCCGGAAAGCATATAACACATGTTTTTTGCAAGGAAACCACTTGAATATATCTTCTCTTATCACTCACCACAAATGTCTACGTCTAATTTCACAGTACAACACCGACTTGTTTAATATGCAATAATTTCCATTAACCCAACCACCAGATTAATTTTTTTCACCCCACCTTACAACATCAAAAAACATGAATTCAGCATGCTACAGAAATAACAACCCCACCCCTCCAAAATTAATTTATTTTAATAATGGCCATTGTTCTTAGTCAAATAATCTAATAGAACATAACAAACTTACATATATCACAGTATAAACATATATTTAAAATACACATTAGTCTAACTATTAAGAAAAAATATGAATAAATAACTACCCCTGCCATTCTTCAATTTGAGTTTCTTTAAGCTTTTTCCCAAAGGCCACCATCCTGGGAAGATTATTACACTACCATGAACAAAAAAAAAAAACATCATAAGTTATAACATAAAGAAATAAAAGAGTATGAAAATGCAGAAAATCCAATTATTCATAACATTTAACTTCTTATATAATTACATACAATTTCATTCCCATTACAAAAATATATTACCGGATTTACCAGCTACCAAACGGGCCGTTAAGACCGAAAAGGCAAAAACTATGTTCATTTATTCAAATACCATTCATCTCTACTATGTATGATATTAACATTACTGTAATACTTCTAAATAATGAAGTGATCACCATTAATAAATACAGAGTTATAATCTGACACTGTTTATTCTTGTTTTTTTAAGGACACGAAATTCCAAAACAAAAATAAAGTTTGTTTGCATTTTGTGATTCTGACAAGCGGCGTTCATTCACGTAAAATACACACAAAATCTGATTCCATTTCATCCATAAAATTTCATAATCAAACAAAAATAACCCTAGAATAATACCAACATTTGTTCAAAAATTTTAAATATTATTTAAAAATTACGAAAATGCATTATTTTCCATTTTTACATTATTAAAAATAAAAAATGGAATTATTCAATTAAAAAATCAAAAAAAGAGAACCTTAAAGCGGCAGAAAAATCAAGGATATTGTAGAGCAGGATACTGAAATTTAGGATAAATTCGACATTTTTTGAAAGAGAGAAAAAAAAATGAGTAATGAAATTAAGCAAGAATGAGTGATTAAATTAGGTAGTAATTAAGCGTAAGGAGAGAGAAAATTGAGTATGGCTGGAGAAGAAGGAACTCAAGGAAAGAAAGAGAGAGATTTTGAGGGAAGTGCTCGCGCCTATTACGTTTGCTGTTGTACTCTGCTTCCCTTTCTATTTATTTATACCTGAAATTTTTTTATTTTTTTAAGGTTAGCAAGAGTTGGAAAAGACCCTTTTTTTTTTAATTTTTATATGCACCCGAATGCATATAATAATCTTTGTACATTTTCTGATTAGAGCATCACACAAATCAACTTAGATCAGGTTAAGATAAGATTTTTTAGGAATGATGGAAAGAGTGAGGGAATTTCCTTTCCACCCCTATTCTCCAAAAGTGTTGCTATTGAGAATTAATTTCACATGCTCTAATTTGTACTCCGTAAGATACAATAGTTATCATTCGTACTTTGCAATTATGCATTACGGAGTACTTGATGTATTGTGATGGTAATTGGTGAATGCAGTCTTTGTTAAATTTAAATAAGAATAGAACAATATATTATTATCATAAAATTTCATATGTAGCTGGTCACACCGTGTGACCGGGGTTACTTGGTCGGTCAGGGTATATTAAGTCAGGGTTACTTAGTCGGTTAGGGTATATTTAGTCAGGATTACTTGGTCGGTTTTTTGGTGTGTGTCAACTGGCCACACGATGTGGCCAGCCAAAAAATGCGCTTTATCATAATTATTATTATTATTATTTAGAAAAACTTATGCTTATTCTTGATTATAAAAAAAAAAAAAGGTTTTGAAAGTGGCAAGTTGCATCAATCTTTATTTAATGCCTATGTGTCACCATCACCAAAGTGGTACATGGCACTTTCGTAATAACGATTTGGACCATTGGTCTTGAATGTGGTACCCCTTCCTCCCTTTTTTTTTTTTTTTTTTGCTACGTACCCAATTTGAATCTCTTCATTAAATAGCCCAAATCTTAACAGGTACAGTATAAGAATAAATAGTCAGGTAAAGTTTTATTAAAATTTAATTTGATTTTTTGATTCAAGATATTTTGTATATTCCACTATTTTTAATAATTTGAAATTAAAGATAATGATAATCAAAAATACATTTTAAAATGTGTACTCCATAATAAAAAGGCTAGCGAGTATATATTAAAAAGATATATATACTATGTATAAATAAAAATAGAGAGTATTAAGTTGGGAGTTTTATCCAATCTATAACTTTTTTAAAAAAATGGTGCTCTTATAATGGTGCCCTTATTTCTTTTTTAAAAAATAATGGTGCCCTTATAACTTTTTTGAATATATTAACTTTTTTTAATATATTGATTTTCTCCTATAACCCATGGGAATTGTGAAATGGAAAGGCAAAGCAAAAAGAAGGATTCATCTCTTTTATTAATATCTCACATTTGAGGGAACCCTACCTATATTTAACATTTAATTCGTGCTATATTTTCAATTAGAGTTTACATAATAAAATATACAAGTATATGTATATTTAGTATCTTACTTCCCAAATTAAGTAATATAGAGAAACTATTATTATGGGCATATTATGTGAGAATGTAAGATAGATTGATCACATAGAGTATCATACTACTTAATATGAGGAATTAGCACAATGTGATAAATAATAATAAAAAGATAGCAATTGGATTTTGACAATATGGATTTTGTCGATTCATTTGCAATTGATAAATTTTTACAGGTATAAGAGTTGTTATAGATGTCTAGAATATCTCAATCTGCAATTTTCTAATTATATACTAATCTTACTAAAATTAGATATGGTTTTGCTTAGGAAATAAAGATAGGGGAATTTGACATCGTAATATCATTATATGTATGAATTTTGCTGGCATCAACTACTTGTAAGTTGTTAAGCTTTTTTTTTCAATTTATCTCTCTTATTGTTTACTTGAGTACTCTCCATTTATATTACTTCAAAAGTTTGTTAATTAGTCATTAAACATCATATCACTTGGTTGCATGTATTTAGAGTACCCGTACGTGGTCATGACTTCACAGGCAACTCGATGACACTAGTTGCCTTATCAGCTAAACAAGGTCAATTTGTATATTACAAAACACTCGTTACATACAAGCATATGCTAATATGCTCGTACTATTTTTAGCATTTAAAACATATTTTCACACACATTCTTACTCGGATTTTCATTAATTCCATGTTAGGTTATTTTGTTGTATTCCCCGTTAAAAGACACTAACAATCGTTTTCTAGCTAATTGCTAAGCTTGTCGATCACTCAATCGGATTAGTTATTAATATGTAATACGGAGTAGTAATAGTAATAAGATATGATGGATCTAAGGAAGCCAAGAGATTCGTGATATGGACCACCAGAATCCAACAGCATATTCGGGTTAGATCCTTTATACGTGGCTTATTTTCATGGCACAGACTCCAGACTCCAAGGGATCCCCTTTGCCTATGTGCATGGTTGATATTCCCTCGTGATTTATTTAGGGTCACACTTTAGATTTAGGACATAATATTCGTAGAATCCTAGTTTACTATTCCAACAGCATATACTCTTTAGGGTAATCACCGTCGTTAATCGAGGTGGCAAATCGTCCTCGAGTAAATTAGTTAGACCGTGTTCTGTTCACCTATAACTTTCACCTTTAAATAAGTTCAATAACATAGTTATAAACTTATAGTGTTTCACCAAATATAAGTTATGATAATTAGAGTTATCTAATTCAGCTTAATTATAACTTAAATGTTAAGTTCAAGTTAGTACAAACACAAATTCTTCAAAAAGGCGGGTGTACGTTAATTTATTGTAAGACGGATTAAAGTTATCTTAAAAGTATTTAAAGTTACCCTTTATACTACAAAAGTTATTATTTTTCTAATAATAAATTTTATCTTACAAAAAACTTATAATGTATTAGATAATCATATTAGCCTTTATAGTATGTAATTATGAATCTACAAGAAATTACACATTAAAATAAAATTCAAACTAACGGCAAATTAAAAGTTACCCTTTAAGGGGGTTAAAGTTACCATAAAAATAGTTAAAGTTACCCTTAGACTGATGGTCTTACAATAAATTTAACGTACACCCGCCTTACACAAGACTTATTATAGTTCAAATAAGCCCATATACAAGATACATAAAACGCACTGTTAGATAAGATTCATGGAGCCTTTTTGTGCTATAAAGAACACTCCTATTTTTGGCCTTTTGTTGCTTATTCAATAAACAAATTCCTAATTGTTCATATTTTAACTCATAATTCTAAACTAGTTACGGAGTTACCCGACCACAAATGCACTCAAAAAATTATTTAAATCTAAAATTCTTGTAAGATTATTATCTAGCTAATACAAAACATTATCTTTTATAATTCAAATCAAACTAAATAAAAGAAAAAAGAGTTATTTCAAATGCTGTAATCAACAAGTTCAGTTATAAAAGCATGACATCAATTAAATATGAAGAATAAAGAGAGTACTTACATAATTTAAATAATTACACGAATTTAGATATTATTAAACTCGTAAACCTTCAGCTGCCTCAGCTACAGAGAAAGATGACCTTTGGTAAGTTGAAAAGCCTTTTAAATGTGATTTAAGGCCTTTATGTAAGAGAACCACCAAGCCACTAACTAAAACACAAGGCTACCACCCTCACAAATGAGGAAAATGACACTAGATACTTTGTTCTTAAACTTGTTATGTTTTGTTGAATATAGTCAACCACATCATACAAACAAGGCATGCATGCATGCATATGGTTTTAAAATAATCTCATGGATTTTATTCTTATTATTTAGCAGGTTGCCACACAATGAGGTATCGTTTGTGTCACAATGTGGACACTTTATCCTTATATTGTTTGGAAGAACATTTTTCAGTTATTTCAAAGTAGTACAAGGGGTTTCTTCAAAAAAAAAAAAAAAAAACAAAAAAAAAGTAGTATAAGGGGTAAATTCATGAGATTCGATTAATATATGTGGACACTTTAAAAATTGTGAAGGACTATTTGCTCATGTGTCATGTTTAGTTTAGGATCTAAAATCTATTTCGTGTTTGGATGTATAAAATCTCCCATGGCAAATATGAGAGTCGTCGAGAATATTGCAAGACGGCTAGTCATGTCATTAGTTCAAACTATTCGTATAATACATACTATTCATTGTTTTCTTGTTCAACATTATTATTTCATTTTCAAGCTATAACTGAACAAAAGGATACGTGTGTGATTAGAATCGTCAAAAAAATATTGAGAATCACATATATATACACATATTCATATTATTTGTTTAAATTACATTATCAACATAATTATTAGTTTCAGATAAAAAGAGTGTTCAAAGAAACTTGAATAATTTACACGTCCTAGACATTAAAAACAAATGCTATATTATATAAAATGTTGTTGAATTATCATCTCTTTCAAGGCTTTGACATATTTAAACTTGAATTAATCCATAAAGGCTTTAATCCAATAAGATCATTCATCTTAGCTTACCATTCTAAAATCAAAAAGAAGAAAATAAACATATTGTAATTGAAGTTGCAACTTAGCTTAAAAAAAGCTGTCGCCCCTACAAATAATATCCTTCATTAGATCATAACATAAAATGACAACTAATGAAAAATATTCAAGGATTTTTCCTTAAAAAAAAAGAAGACTATAAAATCATCCAAAAGAGCAGTTGTTTGTTACTGTTTCATATCTGCTTTTTAATATTATTATAATAGCTTCAAATGACTAAAATTGCGCAACCCACATCAGGAAAGATCATCATCCATTATCTTTAATTTGCCATTTTCATGCATATCCACACTCTTCTTATAATCAAAGTCTTAATCTTAATTATATCAGGTTTAGAATAATAACCAACTCAACTGTTTTTTTCTTTTTTGTCACATTATGTTAAATCTTTATATTACATGTATGAGATGGTGAAATTTAGATTCTAATAATGTCTTAGAAAATGGAGCACTTAGATTAATGTCGAATTAGAAGCTGACAAATCGGCTAATTACTTTATTTTCTCTTATGTAATGGTTGATACTAGATATTTAGTGTAAAATAACGACAATTAACCTTTATATATGTAAACCTTTTCACCTTATAAAGTTGGGTAACAAGAGCATATGCTCTTCATATACCCTGTAAGATTCTCACTAATGATCAATTAAATATAGACTTTCATTAGTCAATGTCTGATTACATGGACAAAGTGTAGTTTACGGAAGTTATTGATTGTGAGATATCCCATTTCAAGATTATTTAACTGTCTGATCAAATGTTGTTGGCTAGACCAAGCAAATTTTTACTTAGAAGAAATATAACTTTTGAATTAAAGGCTAATTTTTTTTGTTTTTTTTTTTCATAAATCACTTGAAGGATAACTTTTTATTTATACACTATGTTCATTGTCCAATGTACTACTCCCCTCGTTTCCAATATACTATTCCCTTCGTTTCCAATATACTACGTAGTGTTTTGGTTTCATTGTCCAAAAGAAATAAGTGGAGTAGTTACTAAGTTACATAGTTCAAAATAGGCTCCATAATGATGACTTAACTTGATTAACTTCCCTAGAATTCCCCTTGCTAAAGGATGGAGTATACTTGATTAAAAAAAACAGGATGGAGTATACTTGATAATCTAACTGTAACTCAATTCTACTTTAGTGAATGTGATAATATTTCCGTATATTCCAAAATAGTATACCGAACATTCCCGACAAATGGAGTACAATTTACAGTAGACACTACTCACTTTCTAACTAATACAAGTATTTTTTTTGGACAAGATATGCTTTGTGGGTGCTATCCTGCGTGTCCAGTATACACCATAATTGCTGAGTGTTTTTTAGACGTTTTTTGGTCAAGGATATGATAGCATAGGTTAATCAAAGCCAATTCATGGTATTTACTTACAAAATATATCCACACAACACAATGCATTCCCAAATATCTTTTCAGGACTCTTCATATCAATCTCAGGTAGATCAGTAGTATGTCGATATGCAGTACGAAGTATGGAGTACTCCGAAAGAGTAACTAGAACCTGGTTTCCTGTTTGCTCTTTCTTTCGATCAACCCACAAATCCACGAGAAACAAACATGTAACCATAGATTTGACTGTTTTGCCACAAATATAGAGATCAGAAGGCTTAATGATCAGCAAACTGAGAAGTGGTAATCAAAATTTTGTATCTCGATTACAGGTTAATAGCCCCCAATTATTTTGGGCATTCATTGACAACACATATCCAAGAATTTAATCACTAATGTTACAACCATTAATCTATGATACAAAAACATCCAACATAAAGTGATAAAACTTAGAAAATGATAATTAATCTAAACTTGTCCAAGTTTGACAACGGCAATAGAGAAGCTGGAATTATTACCTACCTCGATCGTGCAAATAATAACTTATGAAGCTTAAGATACAGACTGCAATTTCTTAGATGCACCAGTTTCTGCCTTGTCTTGGAAAAAGTCCTGAAGAGCATACATTTTCACAGGACTAGATTTCAAGCTCTTAATTGCCTCTGCTGTCACTAGAGCACCAGCAACAGTTGTTACGATTGGAACCTTGTAAGCTAGAGCCATTCTTCTCAGAGCACGTCCATCAATCTGATCAAGATCATCACCTGAGCTTGTAATCACCATCAAATTGATTTGCCCATTTGCAACCATATCCCCTGCATGAGGTCTCCCTTCATGCATCTTCAATACTCGCTCAACTGGTATGCCTTCTAATTCCAGAATACGAGCTGTTCCTGAAGTAGCGACAAGGTTGAACCCAAGGTCTAAAAAGCCACGGGCGATAGCTGGAAGGTGAGGTTTAGTCAAATCATTCAAACTCAGGAACACCGTGCCAGAAAATGGTAGTTTCTGTCCGGCAGCAATTTGGGCCAAAGCAAAGGAGAGCGAGAAGTCATAGGCAATACCCATAACTTCACCAGTACTTCGCATCTCAGGGCCCAACAACACATCACAACCAGAGAACTTCTCAAATGGGAGGACTGCTTCCTTCACAGACACATGTTTTGGGATAAACTCTTTGGTGAAATTGAGATCACCAAGAGACATCCCAGACATGACCAAACAAGCATATTTAGCTAATGGGTGCCCAATTGCCTTGGATACAAATGGGACCGTACGTGATGCACGGGGGTTAGCCTCGAGCAAGAAAACGTCCCCTGATGTTGTGATGGCATATTGACAATTCATGAGGCCACAAACATTCAATCTCTTTGCCAATTTCGTTGTCCAAGTCCTAATGGTCTCCAAGCACGAAGATGAAACAGTTTTGGTGGGGAGAAAACAAGCTGAATCACCAGAATGCACCCCAGCTTGCTCGATGTGCTCCATTATCCCACCAATGACCACATTTCCATATGAATCAGCTAAACAGTCGACATCTATTTCAATTGCATCAATGAGATACTTGTCAATCAGAACAGGTCGCTCTGGATCTACCTCAACAGCATTTTCAAGATAAGTCATCAATTTTTCGTCATTATATACTATTTCCATTGCCCTACCCCCAAGGACATAGGAAGGCCTCACAACAACAGGGTAACCAATATCAGCTGTAATCTTGAGAGCATCAGCTTCACTCTTTGCAATACCCCCCTTCGGCTGCAAAATCTTCAACTCATCTAAAATAGCGTTGAACCTTTTTCTATCCTCCGCTGCATCAATGTTATCGGGCGATGTTCCCCAAATACGAACTAGGCCTGCCCCACTAGCACTTTTGAGCTTGTTCTCATCCAAATACTGTTGAATAGGTAGTGCAAGTTTCAAGGGAGTTTGACCACCAAACTGCACAATAATGCCATCAGGTCGTTCAAGGTCAATGATGTTGAGAACATCTTCGACTGTAAGAGGTTCAAAATACAGTCGGTCACTTGTGTCATAATCTGTGGATACAGTCTCAGGGTTTGAGTTCATCATGATGGTCTCATACCCAGCATTCTGCAAGAGAAACGAAAACAAGTTAACCACTAAACCGTTAAATACAAAGATGTAATACCACTATTTCAAGAATTTTGACACTTAAAAGTAAAAAATAAATAATAACGAGCACAAAAAAGTAAAAAATAAATAATAGTAAAATCAATGTTAGCACTTAAAAGAGTCAACAGTGTATTAGGACCAATGGCCGTTAGATAAAGGCATTATTATATCACAAGAATTAGAAGTAATTCTGCTCTCACAAGAAAAAGCTTTTCAAGAAAAGGAGGAATACTTGCCAAAAATGTCAGCAAAGGAATATTTACTTTTAAGTGTACCATGTACAATATGGTGCTGATACAATCATAAAATATACTCCGTACCAGGAATATATTGCAATCTTTCATTTAACTAATTCAAAACTTTCCAAATAAATCATTGACTAATATCATCACAATGGGCAGCACAAACCACCTGCTTAGCAATATCTTTAACATTGAAGGCACAGTTCTTTTTCCTAGCATGTCCAGGAAAAAAAATAAATAAATAAAAAAAAAAAAAAAAAAATAAAAAAAAAACCTATTAAACAAATTATTGAACAAGTAATTTAGGTTTTGTGTTTTGACACAATTACAAAATGTAAATATAAAGGACTAGACAAAGCACCATTTGTTTCCAAAAATTCTCAAGCATCCAAAGGTTATTACAAAATAATTTGCAATATATAATGTCCAAAAATATGCAAACACCACATGCAAGCAAGTGAAGCAATACAATAAATATACAAATAAAGATGTCACAAGCTTTATTGGCAGAAAGTTTTAGCTCAACTACAAACCTGAAGGGCAAATGAAGTATGGCAGCAGCAGTAGTCAAATTCAATTCCTTGGCCTATACGATTTGGCCCACCACCAAGGATCAACACCTTTTTCTTTTGAGTAGTAGATGATTCACACTCAAAATCATAAGACGAATACATGTATGGAGTATTAGCCTCAAATTCTGCAGCACATGTATCAACTCGCTTATAAGCTGGGGTAACACCAAATGACAACCTTGTAGAACGAACCTCTCTCTCTGTCGATTTAGTTGCAAAGGCAATTTGTTTGTCACTAAAACCTCTTTTCTTTATCTCATAGAAGTCATCCTTCGTGAGGTCAGACAGTTTTTGAGATAGAAGGTATTGCTCAGTATCAACTAATTCTTTGAGTTGTGTGAGAAACCATTTATCTACAAAACTCAGCTCATGAATTTCATCAATTTTCATGCCTTTCTTCATCACAGCATAGATAGCATGGATGCGATCAGGGTTTGGAACACGGAGGTTGTATTTCAGCTGCTCCAAATCCCAATCCAATTCCTTTATCTTGCCGCATCCCCACCCCGAGTAGCCAAGTTCCAGAGATCTCACTGCCTTTTGGAAAGACTCCTGAAATGTGCGACCTAAGGCCATGGCCTCACCAACAGACTTCATCTGAGTGGTAAGAATTGGCTGAGAACCAGGGAATTTCTCAAATGCAAATCGAGGAATCTGCACGAGCGTATAACATGAAAATAATATGAGATGTGTAAATCCACTGGTACTAATAATGACAGTAATAAGAAAAAGATATTGATATAAATTATATGGATCTTATGAACTAGGATACCAGAAAATTATCATGACCAACACACAAGTAATGAAATGCAATGCAAACAGATCAGCTACATGACACTAACTCTAAAATGTCAGCTTATCCAGCAACCCCTAGAAGTTGCAGTCATGTCTAGCAGATGTCTAGCTGTATTCAGCACTACCCTAGTGGTCAAAGGTGCCTCCAAATTCACAGTGAGAGTACATTTGAGCTCTATAACAAAACTTATAAAAGTCCTTTCGGCAGCATATTTGAGGCTAGATCACTCAGTGATCACTGCTTCAATTTATGGACATAACAGCTACCAGAGAAGAGTAACCACAATTTTACAATGGAATTTTTTAAGTGAAAATCACTAAATCATGTATAATGTACATCTCTTAATTCTCGCATCAAAACCTAAATAATAAATCATCTTGATCTCAAATGAGGAGCCTTAACAATACCCCTTTTCCTTCACCTAGGCACCTAGCAGCTAACATTCACTACCTACAGCACACTACAGGTATTTTATAAGGCAATATTCCACAAGCACCTAACTTATCAGAAAGTCAGAAATACCTTATTACACTATTTTCAGATAACCAGGGGCAGGGGAGAGGGGGTAAAGGCGTAAAGCTGCTTGCAGAAATGGTAAAAGATTAACAGAAACAGTAAAATGATACTGACCTTCGTCACCACATAATCAATAGAAGGCTCAAAACTAGCTGGAGTTTTCCTTGTAATGTCATTTGGAATCTGATCCAGAGAGTAGCCAACTGACAATTTAGCAGCCATCTTCGCAATCGGAAAACCAGTAGCTTTAGAAGCAAGTGCAGATGACCTTGACACCCTAGGATTCATCTCAATAACCATTACTTCCCCATCAGCAGGATTAACCGCAAACTGAACATTCGAACCACCACATTCAACTCCAATCTCTCTAATAATAGCAATTGAGTAATCCCTAAGCCGTTGATACTCCTTATCAGTCAAGGTCTGAGCAGGAGCAACAGTAATCGAATCCCCGGTATGCACTCCCATTGGATCAATATTCTCAATTGAACAAATAATAACCACATTGTCAGCTAAATCCCTCATAACCTCTAACTCATACTCTTTCCACCCCAACAATGACTTCTCCACCAACACTTGAGAGGTCAAGCTAGCCGCCAAACCCGACTTACAAATCATCTCAAACTCCTCCCTATTATACGCAATCCCTCCTCCGGTCCCTCCCAACGTAAACGCAGGCCGTATAATCAAGGGAAACTCCCCAATCTCACTGGCAATCTGAAAACACTCATCAACAGTATTCCCAATCCCCGAAGGCGGTGTCTTTACACCGATATTCTTCATAGCCTCCCTAAACAACTCCCTATCCTCAGCCTTCTTAATAGCATCTAATTTCGCCCCGATTAACTCTACTCCATACCTATCTAAAGCCCCATTTTCAGCCAATGCAACAGCCAGATTCAAAGCAGTTTGTCCCCCCATAGTAGGAAGCAATGCATCAGGCCTTTCTTTCTCCAAAATTTGTTCAACTAAATCAGGGGTTAATGGGGTTATATAAGTTCTATCAGCCAAATCAGGATCAGTCATAATAGTAGCAGGGTTAGAATTTACCAGAACAACTTCATACCCTTCTTCCTTCAACGCCTTACAAGCTTGAGTACCCGAGTAATCGAATTCACAGGCTTGTCCAATCACAATTGGGCCAGCACCCAGAATCATAATCTTCTTCAAATCAGTTCTTTTCCCAGTTTTCTGCACAACTGTTTGTGGGGTTTTTTTAGCACCATTTTCTGCTTCACCCTTAATAGTTGAAGAAGTTGCCCGTGTCCTGAAACTCCATGGCCGTGCGAGACGCAAGTTTAGGGAAGAAGAGAAGGTGTTCTTGGAGTGGAAAAGGGTGGAGTGGGAAGAAATTGATTTGGGTAAAGAGGGATTCCTGGGTTTAGGGAGTGAAGGTGATATGAAATTTTCAGGAATTTGATGAATACAGTAACTCATTTTTTGAAATTGGAGATGATGAATTGAATTGAATTGAGGAGGAGAGAGAAAATGGGGTTTAAGAGTATTGGTGGAGTGAGTGAGGGAAGAAGGAGGCCGTTGGTGAAGAGAGAGGAAGAAGGGTTTTGAGAGAAAAGCAGGGTTTTTGAGGTGGTGTTACTGAGGCAACTGAGCTAGATGAAAATCTTAAGGTTAAATTATCGGAAAACTCCATCAATCAATCACTTGACACTTCCTCATACGGCCCTTCCTAAATATTCCTTGTGTTAAAATTTAAAAATCAATCAATCAATTTAAGCCTTTGTACCAATGATGTAGTCAAGATTTGAGTTAAAAAGTTGAGGTATCACTTATTTAGGGTTTAACCTAATCATTCATCCATTAAAACTATGATATTTAGCTTGCGGGATGTGGGTTTTTAATTCCATACATTGTCCCATCCTTTATATACATCTTATATATGATTCTACACATTGTCCCATATTAAATACCTAACTGTAAGATTTTCTTATATTTCAAATATATGTACATCTTCTTATTCACAACCAAATGCATTAAAATCTATCCCTTTAATTTCAATTTTACAAGTTGTGAATTTTTTTTATCTCAATAATGTAAAAGTGATGCATTAAAAAACGAAGGAAGTAGTTAAATATAGGGATCAAAGTCACCAAATAAATAATAAAATAAAGTCAAACGGTTACAACTAAAAAAATAGCACGTTCTTTTGAATTGAAATTTGGTAAACTAAAACACCTAAACTGAATTAAACTACTAGTAAACCAATCTGAATTGAACTAAACTGAAACGACGTGACTTGAAGTGAACGGAAAAATTCTACAAATAAGTCCAAAAAGAGCAGGAAAAAAAAAAAAAAAAAAAATTGGTACTGTACTCTTTCAAGTACGGTAAAAAAATCCTTCTATTTCTAGCATACTCCGCAAGTCAATCTTCTCTGTACGATCAAACTCTCTTTCAAGTTTTGTTTAATTCGGATTTCAGGACTCAACTCGAAAATGGCGAACCAAGAAGAAGAGATTAAGCTTGAATTATTTCTCCAATGGCTTCAGGTTAATCTTCTCTGTACCTCTCTCCTAATTTTAACATGTCAATTTCATCATTTTGATTGTTGTTGAGACAAACTAACACCAATTTCCCCCAAAAATTTAAGGTAAATGGAGTGGAGCTTCGAGGTTGCAACATCAAATACTGTGATTCCAGTAAAGGGTTTGGCCTATTTTCAACTACTAATGTTTCTGATGGTTAGTTTATAATTGTATATTCCTTTGATTAAACCAATTTTTATCTGGGTAGTTTTATATTTCTTGGTTAAAATTAAATGTGACAGCTTGATGATTAGTTATGGTTTATATGACATAATTTGATTGCTTAATTTATATTGTTCTTGGTTTGGTTTGAAATATATCATCAGGTGTTTTGTTGGTTGTGCCACTTAATTTGGCAATAACACCTATGAGGGTTTTGGAAGACCCTTTATTGGGACCACCATGTAAAGCAATGTATGAGGAAGGTGAAGTGGATGATAGGTTTTTGATGATATTGTTCTTGACTGTTGAACGTCTCCGTGGTAGTAATTCGACATGGAAACCGTATGTTTAGGCATTGATGTTATATGTGTTATTGGTCCTTGGTTAACATCGTTCCTTAATCCTTAGGTTGATTGTTAGGGCTTGTCGTTGCAGGTACCTTGATATGATTCCTAGTTCCTTTGGAAATCCACTTTGGTTTACTGATGATGAGTTTCGGGAGTTGAAGGGAACTACTCTTTATCAGGCCAGCATGTCGCAAGTAAGCACATTTGGCTGGTTTTTTGGGGTGTGTATATGTATATATGCTGAAATCTCATCATTTATAAGCATGTTGAAGTTCAAGCCATAGTGGCTTTAATCGTAATTATGGTCACATATCATTGTCCTTCAATTTAAATGATCATCCTATGTATGTGAACATCGAATGAGCCTCCTTATATGTATTACCTTAGTTTCACCTCTTTTGGCATTTTAACTGGAGAGCTGCATTGCAGAAGAAGAGTTTGCTGGCTATCTTTGAGGACAAGGTGAAGAATCTGCTACCGAGACTTCTAGTTTTGGATGGAGAATCAGAAAGGTTAGCATGTCTGTTTATTATATGTTTGAGAGATACAAAAGATATTAGACTTATGAACAGGCTCCATGATCTTGGGGAGTCGGACCCATTGTATTTTTGCTAGTAATCTAATAGTTTCTGCATTAGGCATACCTTGCATTACTGTAGGTACTGTTGTATACTTGTATATGGACAACAATGAAAAGGATGAATTAGCAAAACATGATAATGGAATGTTCCAAGGATTGTAGGAGACCCCTTTTACCCAAGAATTGTCATGCATGCCATTTTATTTTCCGAAAAAAATACAACACTTTTTTTGGCATATTCTTTGTTCAGAAGTAAAAGTGGCTGTGGGTTTGTTAAAGTTTATAATACATCTCGCATTGTGATAGAAAAATGACGATATTGTCTCATTTTCTGTAGCTTTTCTAGTAAATTCACGAGGTATTGGGGTGGTAATCTGTGCTCTGTTACATAAGAATTGGTTGACATTGTATCACTTGCTCGATCCCTCTTATTCTCTCTCCTAACAAACTAGAGATACATCCTGTTGGCTGTAACACAATGAAATGCACACTATTCTGCATCTGCAGATCAAAAAAGTTGTGTGCAGAAATGAGAATACAAAATCTGTTAATACAGTTTGCCAAACCCCGAATTTCTGACAATAGGCTTTATGATGTTTTTTCTATTAACTTTTGCTATAAATAATCACTATGCTGACTTCTTGTTTGCAACTTAATGGCTATCAACATAGTTTTTGTTAGGATTGGATAGGAATTAGAATATTAGAGCATGTGAATTTTGTAAAAATTTACTTTGCCTTCATGTCTGGTAATGATTATGGGTGTTCGTCATCATAGTGTTTACGGTTTTTATAGCTACTCACATGTGATCTCTTCTGTCTTTCTTTTCAGAGAGGTGGCTTTTGAAGACTTTCTATGGTACGCTACTCTGTATTCTTTTTACTCCTGAAATTGTTGTACTCCTCCGTCAAATTTTCTCCACACTTTGACATCCTTTAAAAAAAAAAATAATAATAATAATATTATTTTATATCATCGTGTAGAATCAGGTTTAATTTGTTTCAATGTGTATTTTCAATGTAAAAACTTTTATATGGAAATAACCTGTGCATAATAATGGTCACAAATTGGTTTTGGAGACCCGTGAAAAGTAAGTGTAAAGTTAATTTAGGGATGGGGCAGTATACTCTTTAACTCTTAGGGTAGACTTTAGCTTGCTTGTTAAGTATTTAGTTTTTCCAATAGATGGTTGAATATTTACGCTGGTCGTCAAATAGGTAGTTCATAATATGCATGGTTTACACATGCAGGGCTAATTCTGTCTTCTGGACTCGTGCTTTGAACATTCCTCTTCCTCGAACTTTCATATTTCCTGAAGGTAAAGAAGGGACCAGTTATCACTTACCCCAATTCAGCTGTGTTTCCAAAAGTTCATGTAATCTCACCTTGGTTAACAAATCAGACAGGAGGCTTGGGCAGGGGAAGCTTTTCATCTTAATAATAGCGTACTTCTTACTCTCCATTTTCAAGAAATCTGCTAATTACCGACTTGTCCCAAAGATAAACATAAAAATATTATAAAAATCTGCAGCTTAATGGGTTGCTTTAATTTGTCAGTTGATATGTCATTTGATGGGGAAATATTTCTGCTGAAGTTGTAGTTTTGTATGATTAATTTTGTAGGATCCGAGATTCCTGCATCCTATAGTATCTCTAATGGGGTAAATATAGCCTCTATGGAAGGAGAGACTCTGTGGGTTGAGGGTCTTGTTCCAGGAATCGACTTCTGCAACCATGGTAGTTATTCTCAGTCCTCTTTCTTAAGCAACCTTACTCCTAATTTCTTCTATTGCTTTTGCTTTCTCAATATGCTGTCTTTTGTTTCATGTCTACCTTTACAATCTCTTCAGAGATAGTTGCTAACTGGTAGTATGTGATTTTGTGTAGTTACTGTGTCATCCTAATCTTTGTGTGTACTTAGCCAGTAACTGCTGGATGTTAGATTGCCCTAGTTGATCTGTCCAAGCATCCAGTTTAGGCAGTTATTGCGATTATAATTAATAACAGATTTATAAGTCCATTGTGCATTCTCCTTGTGATTATACCCTGTATTATGTGATGGAATCTCTTGCTAGGATAAAAAAAAAAAATCTGCGCAAACCAACTTGTGTGTAAATTTGTTGTTGCTAACTTGGCGTTTCTCATTGCAGGAAGCTTCACTAATCTCTCAGATTCTCTGATTAATGACTAGTACTTCTATTGATGTAATGCCTCGAATATCCAACTAAGCTATTCTGCTTAAAAATTTATAACACTTTTTTATGACTTATCTCTTTGTCTGCTTTTAACCTAAGATGTACAGTAGAGGGATTGGACAGAAACTACAAGAAATGTCAGGCTGCTTGTGTAGTGGATGGAAGGAGCGAGAATGGTTTTATTTCTCACGTCTGATGGTTTAATATCTTAAAGAGTTAGAAGGTCATCCTAATTAGAGAATCTTGAAACAACTCTGCATGTAATGGCTTGATAATAAAGCTCGTAACGTAGATCTTTAAATAGGATTTATTAATGGATAGTTTAGAAATTGATGGGCTTGATTGCATGATTTGCATCTACAGCTAACTTGAGATTTTGTCATTCAGCTATAAAACCTGCTGCAATGTGGGAAGTTGATAGCACTGGGACTACCTCTGGAGTGCCCCTCTCAATGTTTCTTCTGTCTGGTAGACTTTTTTTCCCCTGAAATTATGTTGATATTCATAATTAATTACTGTCTACAAAGGATCAAAACTCAATGTTTGTTCATTGTGGTTGTAGAATATCTTGATTATGCTTTTTTCACTCTCTGTTAGTTTGTATATCTGATGTTTGCTCAACTTCCTATTTGCATGCTAAGTAAATTCTGAAATTGGGAAAGAGATAACCATCAGCTATGGTAACAAAGGAAATGAGGTACTTCTTACTATGTACTCTCTTGTCAATTATGCTCTAAGTAGTTGTTTGAGTTTTGCATATTGGTAGCAAAAAAGGAGAAGCATTGGCTTTTCTACTTTGATCCTAATGCTAGGCTGGAATAAGTAATAGCGCATCACCACCACCCCTCCCCACCTCATCCCACCCAAAAGATTGGAAAATTAACAGGAACTCCATGTGGTTTGTTCTGCATTTATGCTTATTGAAGTAGTGTGCAGGAGCTGCTTTATCTCTATGGATTTATAATTGAAGACAATCCAGATGATTATCTGATGGTAATTTTCTTTTCTGACATTCTCTCTTGTAATGTAAATCACTGATGTTACATTCTTGCTGTTATCTCATAGCTACGTTAAACTTCATAAATAATTTTTCAGCTACGTTAGGCTTAGTTGCACCTGTAAGTTGATCATGATTTTAGCATAGTGATGGCACTGAATGTGCATGCAGGTGCATTATCCAGCAGGTGCACTTCAAAATGATCCATTTGCAGACTCGAAAACACAACTTCTCCAAGTAGAGGTCTGATGGCTGTGCTTCTTCAAGTTGCCTCTTGTTAATTTTTTGGGATCCATGGCTCTGGATATTTCTTCTCACATATATTGTTAATTGATGTCTCCGTGCTATAACTAATAATGCTTTAATCTCACAGAAAGCTGAATTAAGGTGTCTGCTACCTAAAAGCTTGCTGGATCAAGGTTTTTTCCCATGCTCATCCTCAGAAAGCAAGAACATTCAGGAATGTGCCAAGGATAAGGGCCCGAATTATAGTTGGAGTGGCCAGCGGAAGACCCCTTCATATGTGAATCAACTTGTTTTCCCTGAGGATTTTTTGACTTCCTTGCGGACTGTAGCAATGCAAGAGAACGAGCTTTTCAATGTCCAATCCTTGCTTGAAGAGGTGCAGTATTGCAACCACTTTTCTTGAACATTCCTGGTTTGTGAATCAATATTTCACTAGAATAAAAAATATTCTGCATTTCATTTCTATTGGCATTGCTGATGTACTCTTCTACTTGTGTGATGAGGCCCTCAGGTCTTACTAGTCATTTGCCTGTATCTATAATCCTGATCTCATTCTTTCCTCCTCTAACAATGAGTAAAATGATTGAGCTCTCTTTTCTGGTTTTCTTCAGCTCTTATCTGTCAAAGTCAGTTGATAATTCAGGATTTGAGTGTTCGCAAGCATATTTTGCTGTTGCTCCTATAAATATATGTGCCTGTACGCACACACACACACACACACACACACACACATGCTTTTGACATCTATCATCATGAGATTTTAGAATATATAACCCTGCCCTATGACTTGTCTCGTGAAAACAGTATAGATGGTCTCTAGTCTGTAATGCTACTTAACTAACTAAAGGATCTCAGTTGATTACAAGAGTATTCTGCAGCTTGTTTTGTTCTTCTTGAATGTTATATCTAGTCAAGTGATCACCCCCGTCTTTTTTATTTAATATTTGGTGATAGTTTTTTGGTTCCTTTTAAACTATATATATCACCAGTAAAAATCTTATATGCTAATTGCTATATAGCTTGTTGGAAGTGATGGGGAGAGGGAGCCATCAGAGGCTGAAGTTCGAGCAGCTGTATGGGAAGCTTGCGGGGATTCAGGGGCTTTGCAACTTCTTGTTGATCTGCTGAATACAAAGTGAGTTTCCATGGTCCTCTATGCTATTCTGAGAGCTGTTTTGTATGAATTCATGAAATTATATTCTTCCCTTCTTCCAATCCCTGCTCCCCAGTAAGTTGGTGCTCTTTTTCTTGTATGCGCTTTTGTTCTCTCACAAAAATCATTTAAACTCTGAAGCAAAGCAGTGAGGACACTGAGATCTGAGAAGATATAAATTGCATTTTCTAATGTGCTAACTGGAAAACTGATTGTGCTAGATTGATGAATCTTGAAGAGGGCTCAGGTACAGAAGAATCCGACTCAGAACTACTTGAGAAGACTTGTGTCAGAGATGGTCCTGCTATCTCCATAAGGTATAACTCTCTGCTTTACCGTGACTGAAAACTGTTTTCGTGATTCTGTTGTGAACGTCAAATCGAAACTATATAAACTAGAGAGCATAATGAATAAAAATGCATTAGTATTGAGAAAGTAGTTCTGGATTTCATCTGTTAGATGCTCTATTAGGTTCCTAAAGATGCGTTTCCTGGAATGTTCTTCTGGGATATGTGGTTCAATGTTTCTGCTACTTTTTGCATTTGCAGCGTGAACAAAGCCGAGTCTAGCTCTGATGAGATGATGAGCAAAAACAGGTGGGCAGGTATAGTCTATCGACGAGGACAAAAGCAACTAACCAGACTGTTCCTACGTGAGGCTGAACATGCTTTGCAATTATGCTTGAATGAAGAGTGCTAGACCTTCCCTATGAGTCTATGACTATCCTACACAACTCAAACAACATGAATTCTTAAGTTTGCACCCATTTTATATTTTTATCTAGTAAGCTTTTAAGTTTCATACCGATGTATTTTCCAATTTTGCATAGAGTTATAACTTATGAATTAGCTGATAGTACAATACCCCTTCATAAAAATTAATGCCTATTTGATGTAGGCTCATTTTTTCACTTGCAACCACATTTTTGGCATGGTAAGTTTAGTTTGTAGCTCAATAAAATCAGTGACTTGCATCCTACAACCTACACTTGAACTCTGGAATTCGTATTCGAAGACCTTCATTTTTCAGTACTTTATGTGTTTACAACTTTACATTACCTAATGCCCCTTTATTTCTCGTTACTTTTATTGAATCTGAAACGATACTAGTGGTTGGACTTTGTTGCAATCTTGCAAACTTAGCTTCTGTAATAGAGAGCAACACTAGTTACAAAGGTAAAACTATACCATTCACAAGGTTACGCGACAATACAATTCTATCAATCAGATTTTTCTTAAGAGTACACGACCAATACATGGTAGTAGTATATTAGAAGCACAAAATTTTTCATCTCACTACATAATAAACATCAAAATTGAAACCATTATGTAGTGCAATTTTCCCCCATGTATAATACAACTACAAAAATATTTGAACATAGCTTCAAGGAGTGCACAATATAACTAAGGCTCTTCTAGGCCAGCAAGATTTCTAAGACTCCATCCAATGGCATAAGCAACAGCAGCAGCAATGACACCATTAGAAACAGTCATGAGAGCCGAGAGCGTATAACTTCCACCGGAGATCTTCGCCTTTGCGAGTCCTAGAAGGGTGAGGGCGAGGACGGACAGTATGCAAGCGCCGATGAACTTGATGGTATCGTTGTTGGTGAAAGGAATGAGGATGATAAATGATAGAAGCGGAGCACACCCAAAGAGTAGGAAGGAAGTGAAGGTGACTAAGCCACTCTTCCATGGCTTCTCCTCTTGGTCTGGTGGCATTATCCCCTTTTGACCCATCATTTTCTCATCCACCATTATATTTTTGTACTTTGAAAATATTTCTACCACCTGTAAAATGCCGTCAAACTTTTCACTTATGTCGATTTTATAGTAAATGACCAAAATGGCCTTATTAAATGAAAGGTAGGAAAAATAAGAACACAACACAATGTCATTGTATTAACTCATTTTATTAAAGAGTAACGCAAATTGTTTAACAGTTAGACAACTAATAGCCCTTATTCGTTAGATTTAAAGTAAAAACGCGACAAAAGGAAGAGATTTGGTAGATTACCATATTAGCGTCTTGGGGATCCATACCAAGCTCTTGGTACCGCTTAACCAAATTCGTAATTTGTGACAAACCATGATTATCAACCTCCCATTGTGTTACATCTCTTTCCTTAGAAGCCATCTCCTTCTCAGTAGAACTACTCAAATAATCCCCAAACCCCATGGAAATCCCATCGGCCACTAGATTCGCGAATCCTAACACTAAAACATCGACAGATGACATACTGCCACCACTAGAGATAGATGAGATAAGTGAAAAACAGGTGACTATAGCATCTAACCCTCCATAAACAACACTCTTAGCACTCTCTCCCTTCCATGTTGGGCTTTTGGGCTTGGGCCTATCTTCATTTTGGGCTCTTTCATCATCATTATCATCTTCATCTGATCTTCTTCTTCTAAACATTTGGTTTTCTTCGTCAATTTCTGGGTTTAAGAGGTTGGTTTTGTCAATACTAGTGTAAGTACTATTGTTTTTTCCAGACATTTTTATTTCTGGAAATTTTTACTGGTTTTGTAATTGTTTTTAAACTTTTTACTTTGCTAGAAAATGGTTGCCGCTTTTGGAATTTAGTATGGTTAGTTTTATAATGGAGGAAAGGTGATGAAATGAATGTATAGGTGTCACCATGCATGCAAACTAGGATGAGGTGCTTATACGTGTAACACTACTGTTGTTTATTCTAATTTCTACCAATTCATACTCGGAAGACTTTTTAATGGCTACCATAAAATCATATCTCGTTAATAGTTTCCAATCTAGACCAAACCAATTTTAGAAATAATTGTTTTATTTGATTTGACTATTGCAAAAAAGAAAAAAAAAAATAAGAAATTTTGGTTATCACTTAATTTTATCTTATCTAGTGCACAATGTATGAACTCCTAATAAAACTATTACATTACTCGTACATTTTACTCTAATGATTAAGTTGACAATTCTGATTCGAAAGTTTATATTCGCTATACGCGATTCTTGTAGCCCTTTTAAAACTATCCTACTCTGTATATAATTTGTTATTAAGATATACTTGAACTTTTTAGTATCTTTTACTTTGTACTTCGTATATTGTATAAGTAACCTGGCCTATAATAAAATTATTGTGAGGCCTATCCTAAGAGAATTTTGGTACCTTAGCATGTTGGTTGCTTACAAAGTTTGGCTTGCATAAAACCAAAATAAGTTTGCTAATATGCTTTAAATTTCCAATCTATCCTTACTTCTATTGTTTTGCTAATTTATCTTCTCATTTTCTAGTTTAGACTTGTTAACAAAAAATTAATCTTGACTAAAATACAACCGATTGTACAGTAAAAATTTTGTTCGAAGTACATCGGCTTACACTTGGAGGTGATTTCAATATTACATCACGATTTTAGTACTCCAAAATCCAACTTCTTCGGATCTTGTTTTACTTGGCATTCATAGATGCACATAAATTTTTACATATCACGACCCCAAAAATACTCAAAATTGTCCCTTTCTTCATCCCCAAGTTCGCCAAAATACCTAAATACCCTCAACAGAATTAAGAGAATTATAATACAATCCATCCCATTTCCATGGATAATCGTATTTATCTTACTATTATTTTGGGAAATGATCCTGGTCAATTACATTAAGATTTATACTCCCCAGATAAATTACTTTGTATAATTAAGATTAGTGGGAGAAAGTTTAGGAACTAACATTTAGATCAAGCAAGAAGCAACGTTTAAAGTTAATACTTGTATTTTAATATAATCTTCTTCGTCTAGGAAGGATCAACGAACCATTGAACGATTATGGAATTCGGACTATGTTAATTAAAATGAAAATTTCACGATTGCACATACGAACGACTATAATCCTTAATTAACCTGTACCAGCTATTATCTTCTGAAATCGCCAATGTTATGAACTTGACAATATATATTCAACTGATATATATGTAACATCACATTCAAAAGGGGGGAATATAATCTAATACATCTCTATTGACTAGCTATCACAGCATCACCAACCCAATTTCATTATCGCTCCCTAAATTTTTGGAGGGATTTTATCAATCTACAACAGATGAACTCATTAAAATTGTTGTGCTAGACGCGGTATTTACTCTCAAACCACCTGCCTTCTTTCTTGGTCATCTTCGTTGATCAATCGGTTCAACTCCTCTTCTGTGGATAGTCTTTCCACCTTGCTGACTTCGGTTGGTTTTGGGACTCTATTCTGGGGTTTGTTATCAGGCAAAAGCTTTATTACGATTCCCATGGTAATCAACAACAGTCCTGTCCCATGCTGCTCAGTTAAAGGCTTTGTGAAGAGCAAGTAAGATAGCAGCAATGTCACTGCCTTTCTTGCGGTGGTCACCTGAGATTCAATCAAATAATTTCATTTTTACTATGATACGAGATTATTATACTAAAATACGTTATAATATGAAGTGTTAGGTTTGTTGTTGGAAAATGGATCAATGCATAATATTCCTTAACAAAAGATGACAACAAGTTAAAGCAGAAAAAAGCCAAGGAAATGGGCATATACCATAGCTGTAGTAGCAGCACCAAACAAAGCAATGAGAGATAAGACAGAAACTTGACCAATAAAGGTAGCCATGGCTTCAAAAATCAACACAGCATACACATAGGGATGCTGCATAAGGAACGCGAGAGAAATGTGTCAAGTAAATCAGACAAACAAGAACAAGGTTTTGCGAAAAGGCTGGCTAGTTCGGTTGTCAAAGCAGGAGTTTCACCTGAGAACATGAAGTCCATGCTCTAAATAACTCTCCTGTCAGAATCATAGGTGGTATTAACATGGGCAAACCAACAACTGTTGAGCAGAATAACATCTCCATCTGTTTGCATAGAGGTCAAAAAGATTATTAAGCAATCTTTTAATCTGGAAATAGGATCGCATTTTCCTTATGAAATGAATTGTGTAGGATGGTGTAAACAGCACCTGAGTGGTTTCAGGATTCATGGTGAAGATCGCTTCTTGCACGTTTCCAAGGAAGGAGTCCATAATAAGAGCACCACTAATCATCATAACACCAATCATGCTAAAATTTGGAGATGTTTGAGCATCTGCTAAAGTGAAAAGTATCAAACCCACCACCAAAAGCAATGCTGATAAATACTCAGATGGAGGGTACTTTCTTCTTAAGCCCGGAATGAATGCGCCCATTACCATGACCGGTAAAACCTGTTTATGCCACAATCAACGAAATGTCCTTTTTAACATAATGTTACAAAAAAGTACTTTCTTTGTTCGAAATTAAGTCACATGTATGAGTATGATTAAACAAGGTGTCACATCGTTGGTTTAATTATTCCAAAAGGACTTAGAGTGTGACAGCTTACAGCTATTTTAGGACAAATTGAATATTAAGCAAACACAAGCACCTTGATCTACAAGGATTAAATTGGGCTATTAGCAATATTAGAATCCATGAAGGGGATAAGGAAATCAAGTGACACCAACTTCCAAGTCAAAAGGTGCACCTAAAACATATATAGAATACAAGTAACCAAATTAAGAGATAATTATTCAAAAAAAAAAAAAAAAAAAAAAAAAAAAAAAAAAAAAAAAAAAAAAAAAACCAAATTAAGTGATAAAAATGCCACTAATAGACATTTAACTAGTTCACCAATTAACATAAACCAGCTCAAATTCATAAACGAAACGACAAATCAACACCGACACTGATTGAGAAGCAATAGTGTATAAAGATTAGCAGAAAAAATGGTGCAACTTTGAATAAAATATGATTCATATGAAGTAATTAGTGTGTACCTTAGTTGACTTGAACATAATTTGAGCAGGGTAATTAAGAAAAGCCAAGGATCCTTTAGTAAGTCCATGAGAACCCATTAATACTGCTGAAAGCTTGACATAAGTCTTCCATGGATTCACCATTTGTTTTGTTGTAAACCCATTCATGTAAATTAATGCTAAGTATACAAACCCTTGAATAAATGTGAAGTACCAACCATAACTGCAACCAATTTCACCATTAATTAGCTTATTAATTATTGTAATTAATTAGAAAATCACCCACCAAATTCCATTTTTTTTCTAGTTACCCAAGAATATCCCAAATGATATATGACTTCAAAAAAAAAAAAATCACCCTGATTCATTAAATTATTGTTGAAATCAATTAAGATATCACCCACCTTTTTTTCTTTTTTTTTTTTTTTAAATGTTTTTACTCAAGAAAATCCCAAATGCAATTACATTAGATTATTAAATAGAAAAAACTCACCTAAATTTAAGCCTGTTGTATACATATTCCTGAAATCAACATTAAAAATAAAAAATTAAAAATTAAAAAATAAAATAAAAAAAAAAAAAAAAAAAACACAGAAAAGTGAGAAATTGCACTAGAAAAAGATGAAAAAAAAAAAGGGGGAGCATGCATGAGAATGTATACCAATAATACAGGACAAGGGTAAAAAAAAAAAAAAAAATACAGTAGAAAATTCTCAGAAAATGTACTGGTTTAAGCTGTGACAAATTACAGATACATTTTCTCAAAATAAAATTAAAATTATAAAACACAGATACAGCCAAAAACAAACTAAAAAAATTGACACTAATAATTTATGAAACCCAGAAACACAAAAAACAAGCGTAACAAACCCATAATTGTTTTTTTACGAAATTCACAACAGAAAGTGAATTTTCTTGATTTTCGCAATAAACCCAGGAAAAAAAATAGAAAAGAGAAGAAGAAAAAATGTGCGAAGAAGAAGATGATGATTACCTCGCAGATGCCATTGATGAGGTAACCGAAGAAAAACCCAGAGGAGCAAATCAGGAATTGATGCCATTTAGGTCTACTTGTTAAGCTGATTCCGAACAAAGACCTAGCTTGTTCTTCATTGTTATTCTTCATCGTACAAAAACCCAGAAATTAAAAATCGAAAACTTAGATCAATTTTTGGTTTAGAAAGAAAAATATAAATTGGGATGAAATTATTAAAACTGGGTTTTATTATTTTTAAATTTCAATATTAGACAAACATTATTAGAGGAGAGAAATTGGAGAAAAAGAGATGAATTATGAATTTCTTCCCCTGTTTTTGTGACATGGGGTTTTCTTCTCTGTTTTGGAGAGAGTGTGTTTATTATATAAGGGGGAGGTTACTAGTTAACAAAGTTATAAAATATTCCTTTTTTGGGAGATGGTTAACAATGAAAATTGGGGAATGGGGAAGGGTAAAATTGGAATTTTATTGGGAAATCAATTAAGGAGATTATGGTTATTTTATTTATATTAGCTAGATGTTTAAGTTTGTTTATGTTAGGAATTAGGTAGGCTTATTATATTCACATAAATCACATTAATTTTATTAAAAAAAAAAAAACACATTTATATTCTATGTATTTGTTTCTATATTTCTAATTCATGAAAATGATAAATGCATCATTAACGACATTAAGGTAGTATACAATAAGCTAGAAAATGAAGGATTGAAAATAACTACTCCATACGTATTAATTACACCGTTTTACACCTATTTTTGTCAAAAAATTCCAGATCTACACTATGGAGTACTACCATTTTAAAAAAATTATTTACTTCGTAATGCTTATAATTAGGACAACGTAGAACATTATCCCTTTTTTTTTTAATGGAAGACCATTACCCCTTTTATAAAATATAATGCATTTGTTTCCTAAACATGTTGTTATGGAAAAGAATAATCTATCAATAAATTAATTCATTATACTAGCTTCTTTTCCTTTTATTTATTTATTTTTGCTAGTTTTAGGAATGATAATTTTAGATTAATTAGCAAAAATAAGCTATAATATTGTAAAACAAAAATTCTTAAAATAAGTTAAGTTTGAAAAGAAAATAAGGGTTTCCTAAGCTCAATCCACTTGCTATAACAAATTAACAAGTATAAATGAATTAAGTTCATGAGTGATGACCAAGGATTGGTTCTCTTCACCGTATTTTCAATTTTTCAGGGTATTAT